TTTTTTGTGGTCTGTCTCTATGCAGTCCCTTTTCTTACTTTTTGTTTATATACTCTTGTCTGAATCTGCAGGCTTTGACTTGGTGACTTGATTTGACTTTTCACCATCACACACAACTATTCTATTCTATTCTTTTTATTTATTCTATTATTTGAATTAGTTTGCAGCTTATAAGATTCTGTTCCAAACTGCAGTAGATAAAGGTTAGAACAGAGTAAAGATCCTGGTTAATACCAATAGAAGAGTTTAGCTTAAGTCAGGGCTTTTTATTTTTGATGCACTCTGTCTACAGGTACCTTCATTATAACTGGCGGGCCTGGGCTTTTGGGTGGATGGGACAAGAAGAAATGTAATAACCAGGTGACACACAACAAAGGGAACCTCTGGTGAATATGACACTTTGGCTAGGGTTTAAATGGACTTGACCAATTGGAATGTGTTCCTCTGATAGCTTTGGGGAAATCAATTAAGCCATTTTTTCTCTTGATGTGACACGTTAGGGGACAGTAGGTCTGAGGAATTATGGGGAACTTGTGCTATGCAGTTATTTGATTTTATTATTGAAATTTATTAGACATTATAAATAAAAATGATTAAAAATCATAATTAATAATTTCTCATTCTTAAAATCATCAGCATCAAACAGATATAAAAACAGACTGGGGTAGTGTTTTCAGCTACTTACCCTTTTATAACTATGATAATAATTTTAAGTGCTAATTGATGTTCACAGAACAACTAATGTAACTAACTAATATGACTTTCAGGCACTAGTTGTCAGAGACAGTTGATCCTTTTCATATAAAGATAACCAAACACAGCAGTTTCCATTTACCATTCAACTATTCTGTCCAACTAACTGTTTAACTAACTAGAAAACTCACAAAAAAAAAACAAAGTAGTAACTAAGAATAAATACAAAACTAATCAATTTATCAATCAAGAACAAACCCCAATGATATGTCTTGATGCTGTAAACAACTGACCATATCTATGCTGAAAAACAAAGCTTTGAATCAAAGCACATATTAATTCAAAGCTTACATGTTTAGTGGGACTGTTGATTAATAAAAGCAAATAACTTCATCTTGGGCCAAGCTGGAGGTTGGCATTCTGGATTACAGCAGGAGGTAACAATAATATAATATGCTGGGAGAAATGTGTTCCAATACTATTGAAAGCAAATAAAAAAAAACACATTTAAAAAAATGCAACTTTTAAAAACTTCCTAATCAACAAAACAGTTTTGAGACTAATTCATAATTTGTATGCATAAAATGAAGGAAGGTTTTTTCAGATTTAATTTGTTACAATTTCCATCTTGGATTTAATTTTTTTCACTTTGGTAATTCTTGATGATTTTTCTGTTCCAAGTCCCCTTTTCTGCTTTTTTTTTTCCTGTTGAGGGACTAAGTTGTATGAACTGCAGTGTTTTTAAATCCCCATTTACAAATTGAATTGACTTCACTTCTGGGACAGGGCGTTTAATAACGATTATAGATGTGGAACAAAGGAAGGTACCTTATTTACTCAGGCCTGGAATAATTTACTTTCAAATTTTCCCTTCCACCTTCAAGTTGATAACAACATTAGCAGTTTAGGCAATGTTAAATCTGAGGAATGCCTAATAAAGTATGAGTATGCCTTTTGTGAAAATTGACCTGCGGGCTTAAGAGGTTAAATAAGAACAGGTGTTAAATTAAATATGCATCATTCCCACAGTACATATGTGTAGTTTCTGCAGAAGGGCTGGTTCAATATCTGTGTTGATTTAACAGCACTTCCTCTTTCAGTTAGGAACCATATCACAGAACTCTGTCCTGTAGAAAAAATAAATAAAGAGTAGTTACTACAATAAAAAGTAATTTGGCATTATATATATATATATATATATATATATATATATATATAAAGTCTTGGAGGTGTGACTGGTGTCACAACATAGTTTTTTAATTCCTGCAGCAGGGACAGATATGTTATGGTAAAAATACTGTACTTACATCACACTTTTTTAAGTCAGGAGACTTGACCGATGCACTTTACACTACATTCAGTCATTCAACCATTGACATTGTCAGGGATATTGAGTTTCTGCTAAAGGGACTTGTGTCTGACATCATACATACTTAGTTTCTGCTAAAGGGACTGGTCTGACAGCATAGATATTTAGTTTGTACAGGGAAAACTAATGTGACATCCTTGACATCAGTTCCCACAAAAGCAAATAGTGTAACATTTTAGATTTCAGTTCCTGTAGGAGAGAGTGATGTAAAACTATAAATATCCATCCCTCCAGGAGGGGCTGATGTTATATCACAGATAATTAGATCCTGCAGATGGAGTGTTGAGACAATTAATTTATTTTGTTTATGCAAAAGTGAATGGTGAGACATTATTCATATTAGAAACTGTAGAAGAGACTATTGTGATGGTATAGATATTAGTTCCTAACTAGTTACTTTGTAGCTTTGGTTAAAATCGCTGTTGAATCAACTGGAGTTTAATCATCCAGTATGAAATGTTAAATATTAATGAATGATTAAATAGTAAAAAAGAAATAAATTAGAAGGAGTAGGCCTACATATCTTAATAAGTATACACTGATCTCCACTGCTTTGAGTGAGCCGGTGGTGTTATTCACATTTATTAGGTGCTAGTTCCTTTCTCTTGCTAGAGTTTTGCCCATTTCCCTAACAGTTTGGTGTGAATCATGTCAGGCTTCTATGCAGTCTAAATGTTGTATTTTCTGACCCCCTTTTTCATTTTTTAAGATATCCTTTTTAGCAATATTCAGTTTCTTACAATTAAGATGATGGGGGGTCGGGGGGGTTGATGTGATTTTTCTTCTATGGAAATTTCTAGCATCCCATGCAACCATAATTTGCATTATTAGGTTATTACACGTTTTTGATTCGTTTTGATTCATTTTGTTCATCATTCATCCATTGATGGCAGTCTTACAGCTAAGTGGTGTTACTAGATTACTGGTCCCGATCACGGTCCCATCAGTCCTTAGTAGGCACTTTATGATTTAGCAGAAGCTAAATGGTACCACTTAAAAAGACATTTTCTTTTTTTTTTTTTTTGGCGGGGTTTTTTTTGGAACAAATTTTAAAAGTTAATTTCTTCATAGCAATTTTAAGATCAAGCTTTAAAATAAATGTTCCAATGTTACATCAAATATATATTCTATCAAAACATACAGGTGCTAAGAGTGCTTTGCTTCCAAGTGGTCTGAGGTTCGGTTCTCCAGCTCTGACCTCCAGAGGTTTGATAGAAGAGGACTTCAAGAAAGTGGCTGACTTCATTCATAGAGGTAAACTTGGAATCAGTTTATTTCTTTTACATTAGTTGGAAGAGAGATGTCAAGTAGAAACAAGCAAAGTAAAATATTTGGTGTGCTTTCTCTGAAAGGTATTGAGCTAACTTTGGAAGTGCAGAGAAGTTTGGACTCCAAGGCCACCGTAGAGGACTTCATCCAGGCATTGGCTTTGGAAGAGAAGTTCCAGCAGGAGGTGGCTGAGATCAGGGCTGAAGTGGAGGCTTTCGCCAGGCAGTTCCCCATGCCGGGACTTCCTGATCGTTAAAGAGAAGAAGTTTTCAGGATGACTTCATTGCATTCCTGTGAATGTAAGCTTTCCCCTGGAGCTATTTGCTTCAGCTGAGATAAAATGAAATTTTTTTTGTATTTATAAATGCTCATAGATGATTAGAAACTGCATTCAAACACATGATGTTAATGTTGAGTTTTGTTGTTTCTGCTGATTTTATTCAAGAAACCCCTTCAATTTGAAACACCAAACATGGCAAATCCCTAAGCATTTTAATCAACATCCAATTATTAATATCTGACTTTAAAACCAAAGAAAAGTTGAATTTAACAAACACAAAAAAATATATATATAAAAAAACAATAAAATTCAAAACAGATCAAATTATTGTAGGATCTGCCTCACCAGACATGGTTGTTGATGTATTTCCATCTGTCATACAGAACCATATATATTATTCCTATGGTTGCACAAAGTGCCATTATCTTTAATACTATATACTGTCAAGTTTTAATAAACATTTTCATGGCAATCATATATTTGAGTCTTGAAATATTACTGAAACCATGCAGTACAAATCAATTAATACAGTAAATCTTCTGTGGGCATAAAGTATTTCTATTCAGACATCTTAAAGGTCTGAAGGTTAATTTTACACAATAGCACTGTCAGGGTTTGGTTGAGGTTTGGAGGACCCAAATGCAGAGGCAGAGAGGCTGAGGTGAATACTTGTAGTTTAATTGTGAAAATGGTTAACAAAGGCAGTCCAAAAATCCAACTAAAAAGTAACAGACCAGAACCATAGAGACATCAAGGGAAAACACGTAGAGGGAGACGAGGGGAGACGATTGCAGCGATGACAGGACCAGAAACAACAGAGGAACCAATAAAGGGCCGGATCTATCAAATGTTTGCGTGTATA